TCAGCTGCATCACTGGGACGGGAATACAGTGGAGACTAAAAGAGGGCTCTACTAAAGCCACATATGCTCCTGACTTGAGTGAAGATGCTGGCCATTGCCAGGACTCCAGTGACGTATTTACAAAAGATCTCGAAGCCACTGCCGTTTCAACCTTCTAGGAGGATTGTAGGGAAGACTGGAACTGGATAAGGACTGTGCTAAGGGATCAGTATGATGGATCAGGTTCTGATGAATATTTGATAATCGGGAATAATTCCAACGACATAAGGGATGTCAAGGTCATGATGTAAGGTTTTGTTCGTAACATAATAAGGAGCATTGACTATTATACCGATGACTTTAGACTGAAAGGATTAGATGCGTTTGGTGTTCGAAAATTTAGTTTTCCCCCACAGTTCAAGTCCGTTGGTCCAGATGAGTTTCAGTATGGTCTTGTATATTAATAGTTTGTTTTCAATTGAGTGGTTAGATTTTCTGTTAAGTGGTCTGTATAAATGGCCAAATCGACGGTTAAGTTCTTGTCTTTTAAGTCTGGTTTGTGGGTCCCATATTAGTCTTTTGTCTAAAAGGTTCCATCATCTCGTCGGAGGAAGTGGGATATAGATTGGTATTTAAGGATTTTTTTGGTCACGTTACAGAGGGAGTTGTCGTCGATAGAGAGGGAAGAAATAAAGGAATTGTAGGATTGGAATCTAAAGTAAGCCAGTTCTTTTTTAACCTGTTTGGAATAGTAATTGTATAATTTCCGATGATCAGGATGCCTGGTTCTTTGCCAGAAGGTCCTAGATTGGCGTTTGGATAAGGTCAGTAAGGTTTTGGGCAAAGGATTCTTTTTAAGGGAGTTTTTGGTGGGGGCGGTGAGGATGCAGTCCAGACTGCTTGTTGGATCAAGGTGGTGAAGGAACTCACAGTACGAAATTAGCCTAATATTATATCCACCCTCTTCGAAGTTTTATCTTCAAATATGTCCCACAAATATATCTATATATTTAATTTAACACAAATATATTTAATTTTCAGTCTCTTACATTTCCTTACATAAAAACTCTAATTGTTTTTTTTAGGTAAACCTATGGTATTTCTCAAGTAAATTTTTATAATTTAATTTATAAGTATTTTATATGTTTTTGTCATTATTCTGCTGAAGTAAATGACATTATATCCAAGATATCCAGATGTATGAGTGAGTTAGATGTAGAAAAGGGAGATGTAAAAACTAGCAAGGAGGAAAATGGCAGTCCACGTGGGTTATGATTATGCGGTAAAAGACCGCCACAAACATATATGAACACTATTATCGCTACGCTTTTATTAAACTCCCTATGTACAATAATATTGAGAATATTTAGTTTAGTTTATTTTTCGATAGCTTTAATTATTTAAATTTTTATTAGTATTCAAACAGGGATCGCCTTGTTTGCCTTGTCTTTATTTACAGCTGTGTAAACAACTTAAGGCAGCCCTTTTTTAGCGCAACCTACCTATATTTAACAAATTAGTACACAAGATTGCAAGAATGTATGACAGGAATCTATCAGACACCCCGTAAGGGTCTCACATTAATTTTTTTACCTGCGTTAAAATTCCGGGAATAGTGACTGTATTAGGAGGACTGAAAGCAGATTGAGAAGAAAGCAGGGTTGAATAAATTTCAACTCTTGGATTGAGAAGGACATCAAGAATGATAAAGGGGAATGAATATCTAGAAACTTTCCTCATCCTATATACTTATTCGAAGTAATTCCTAATCCCATTTGAATATATTAGAAATTCATGATTCATCGAACTCTTCCAAGGAAAAAAAAAATGATATTTATAAACTTGGAATAGTATGAAATTATTCAAAGTCATTATTTCCTGATTTACTTTTGTATTTCATTCATTAAATTAAAATAAATTTAAAATAATACCATTATCAAATACAAAGCAGGTTTGAAAAACCACCAGTCTCTGTAAAAATTTAACAGAATAAAATAGACCCTTCTGAAATGTAATTTTGCGCTATTATGACATACAAAAACGCCCATTATCATATATTATTTAAACCCTAATTTTATATATTACTTAGTTTTATTTAATTATGTTTGTTCTTTTTTTTATTAATATTGTTTTATGTAAATAACAATTTTTATTTTGTAGATATTATTTATGTTATAAAATCATGTGTGTATTTAAGTATTTATTTTGTTATAGTAGTTTATTTTGTTTTTTTTATAGTATCTTTTAGTTTATATACATTTGCTTTAGTATTATTATATTGCTGTTTATTATTTTTATTTATTGTGCATAGTATGAATGAGCTACTCTATATCACTATTAATATTGTCCTTGAATCTGACAGATTCTAATATATCCCAATAAATATTATTTAAAAAAAAAAAATATTATTTGTTCATTTATTTCTTTAAACCTACCAGCTAAAGATTTGAATAATAGTATTATTTTATTGATCGGGCAATGATGACCTAGATGTGTTGAGCCAAAAACATCAAAACAACCGTTTGATTGTTGTTAGTTAATCAATTTCACAAAACTTGTAAAATGCCATGACTGAGGATAATGTTTTTAGCTACATAATGCTTAACATTTCATATGAATATGCATAATTTTTACCTATAGGTTTCAATTTAAGATTTCAAAATACGAAATATTAATAAATCTTACTAGAATTTTCACTCGAATTTTCTCTATAGATAAAAGTAAGGTACTGAAATGTGGCTGAAAGATTCAAAAGATAGGTTTGTATAGATGTGAAAATCCAAAAATAATATGAGTTAAAAGTACATATAAAAATGGCCTATATCATGACCACAGGAATAACTTACGATAGAGCCCTATTTTATTGTATTCAATTAACTATTTTTTTTTCCGAAAGCAGGTAAATACTCTCTTTGTAGTTGTTATTTATAGAGACAGTAATTGATGATAGGCATTGGGTGTGGAAGCATCATCAATTCTCCCCTAGCCAGTGTATTCTATACCCGCACGGGGCTTGTTTAAAACCTTAAATCCATCATAGCTATTGTAGCAATCTGCCACAAACTGCCTCCGACCTAACTGTTTACATATTCTGTTTGTAACGATTTGACAGTAGTTATATCTTTTCTTATATAGAAAAAATATATAATGATGCTAATTTAGTCGACATATTTCATTTTTCCATATATGTCAAAACATTCTTTAATAAATAATCGATTGGCATATCCTTTCGGGTTTTCAGGGTGAAATCAAACTCAATGTATTATAAACACAGAACTTATTTTAATCTACAATATATTCTCCATTATTTAATATGACTTTTTCCAATCTTTCCACTAACTTCATAATCCCATGTTCATAGAATGTGTGGTGTTTATTGTTAAAAACTGATCCAAGTGGTTTTTGATGTCCTCTTCCTTTTGGAATTCCTTTCCATTCATGGAGTTCTCCAGAGACCGGAATAAGTGGTAGTCACTTGGACCTAGGTCTGGTGAATAGAGAGAGGAGGGGAAAAGGTGCCATCCAAGGCTCAATAATTTATTGCGAGTGACCAATGAGGTTTGGTTCTCCAAATTCCATGTTACTATATTGGTTTGAAAGCTGAATTATTGCTCTTCAAAGACGTATGAATGTTTTTTTTTTATTTAATGCCTACATAACAAATAAATAAACAAAAGCTCCTTATATGTTTTTAATATTTATCTACATTTGTATTTTTTTTACGAAGGTCCTGTCGATGTCATTTTGTATAGTTTATGTGGCCATAAATTCCTGCTAAATTTCTTGTAGATAGCTAAAGTCGTTTTGAAGTTATAAAATTGTTTTTTTCGAGAAAAAAAATCATGTGAGGGACCCACACATTAAGCCTGGAAACAGCCGAGCTTGTCCAGATGGTTTTCTACGCTGGTTTGCTAAACATTTAGGGCCATAGCAATCTCTCGCACTGATTGGGTGGGATTTTGATCAACAATGGCCTTAGAATTGCTCGTTTCAATTTCATGAGGGCATCATTGATCTCAAAATTTCTTGAATTAAATTTGGCAGACAATTTTGACAGATGCGTTCGGTTAGGAATCATCGTCATAAACATTGCAATTTTTTCTATGAGCTTCTGCAGCACGCTTATATTTTTTAAAATAATATTACAAAATATGCCGATAATGAATGATATTTTCCATATATGAATGATATATTCCATATTCACAGTTCAATAGAAAGCACAATACTAAGCTAACTTCAACAGGAATTAACAGATGTCGTTTTTGACATATTACATAACAGGATAAACAATCTACCTTAGGAATTAATTCATCAGATAAGCAGTGTATCATAGTAACATCAAAATAAACAGAAAAACCGAAAGGACTTATTTGCCAACCCAATATTTATATACATACGAATGAGTATGATAGAATTTATTTTGGCAAAGATTGGCATCATATCTCCCAGTGAGTAATTTTCTAATTATGTAATATTAAAGTTACACCTCTGCAACTAAAAGTTTCGTTGACTAATAAAAATAATACTTTGATACGATTATAAAATGTGTGAAATCAGATTCAAAATATAGATGCGATTAGTATATGGTATAGGACAAGGGCATGGAAGAACTAAAAATATATTTTCATAAATCGAAATTCATTTAAATTATTTAGTTTTAAAAAAAAAAAAAATACTGATAGCTTTTCTGGCGAAAAAAAGAGATATTTTAAATTTAACACTCTGTTAATCACACAAAAATTAATTAATCTTAAGTAAAAAGTCGATTACTGGAGTTGATTAACTTGAAAATGGTATTAGATACGTTGTTTTCTTCTAGGGTAGTATTTATCCCTTTTACACATAGCAACCATTTTCAAATAAATTAAAATAATGATATTGAATTTTGAAGGAATCACTATACATACCTGGCTTGACCACAGATATTGATTTGTGGTGGATACTTTTTGATTATATGAGCAAAAAATCGATAACGAAAATTTTTACCATTTATAAAATCAGATTTTTTTTAACACAGCTGGTTATTTTAAACTATTACAGATATTGTAGATTAAATAAATAATTGAAGTACCATCAAAGTCAACGGTACCGGAACCATCCGTATCGATTTCAGCGATGATTCCGTCTAGATCGTCAGACGTCAGCTTGTCGTCAAGGGCAGCTAAGATTTCCCGCAGCGTAGCTGTCGTGATGTAGCCATTACCTAGAAAGAGAGTTTTGTATATTAATACAATACTTTTACTTTTTTAATATTATATTTTATTGTATTTATACATTTTTGTCCAGCCAAACAATATTAGGAGGTCCAACCTTACAAGTCACTAAATCAACCACATGATTGGAAAAAAAGCGAAATAAATAGGCTCACCAAATAAGGGATGAAGTCATCAAATAGGAATCAAAAGTAATGTTCCTGAAGAAAAAATAGAAATCAGGCTTCATACAGACTATATTAGAACAGAAAAGTAAAATGTTTAATAGAAGCTAATTCAATAGGAAAAAGACATGTGGGTGTCACATATATTCAGTCTTTAGAGGGGAATTTAATACAAAAGGGAAAATAAATTGCCCAGATGAAAAAGCAGAGGGATGAATGGAAATGATTGACTGAGACTGGGCCCTCCACACTAAAAAGCACTTAAGAACCAAAAAGAAAAAAATAAGAAGGATATTAACAGTGCCATGTACAAGAAATGGAATATAAAATCCCTTTTAATGTCTTTTTAACACTAAAAGGCAATGTGCTTTGAATTTTCAAAGCATTGGAATGTTGGATAGTAAATTAAAGTAATCATAATGTAGAAATTTATCTTCTGAACCTGATTAACTTCACTAAATGAGACGGTAGAGAATAATGTAAGTATCGCAAATCATGGATTTAAGATACCTTCCTCTGCAATCCTTGATGCCATTACCTTCCGATGCGCACTCCCACTCGTAATACTGCTGCTAATTTTTCATTGATTCCCTTTAACTACTCTGATCTAATCAAATAAAGGAGCCTGCACATTTATCTGATGCGGCTGATTTTGATTTTCAGTTTAGTCTGCGATCTCATCTTCTGATAATCCTACTTGTTTTGTTAAACATAAAAATTTCGATTTTTGTTGTTATCACTGTATCTATATACTTTATTCATTACATATTTCAATATAATTTATTCCCCTATGTTTCTCCATCCTGATCACATGGTCAAACCATTTCAATTGGTGGATTTACAAAACCTCCATCAATCAGGCGACCCCAGCTCCTGGCGCATACTTTCGTTACGAAACCGATCCCTCCTAGTCTTACCGACTGTTCTTCGCAGATATTTCAGCAATGGTGACTCTGTTCTCTTGCCTTTCTAGCAATATCCAGCTTTCAGCTCCGAATAGAAGTATTTGCAGGTACATAGATTTAAATATATGGAGGTTGACGTTCTTGTATACCTCTCGCTTTCCTGCAACGGTGTTGCAAATCTGGTAGTAGACTGTGTTCGGCTCCATGCCAGTACTACTGCTGCCTCACACCAAGGATATTTATCGACCTACCAGTATAGATCCGTCATGTTCTGTTAATGCAGGGTCACCTCGGCTAGGATGTGATACTACACCACGTGCGGACAGCAATGGGTTTTTAGTGTCATTAAGACATCCTCAGCAAGGTTCACAGGCCTCTCAGTTATTCCTCAGGTGCAGATGGAGGACCAATCTGCAGATCAATCCTGAAGAAGGTGCTACCTCCCTTCGCTCCTTGACCCCCGGACTCACGTTCCTGTTATTGAAAACAACAGGTAACGTTTGTAAAATACGACTCCCTTTATTTGTCCCTTATAGTACTCAATTTATAACCTTCCAGCCTTTGGAAATTTCGGGTACGTTCCATAAAAAAATATCAATGCATTGACGAGTTGATGAAGTTTGGGCTGTGGAAAAATAGATAGCTAAAAAAATTAGAAGAGTGGAGGAGAGGGAACTATCGTTAATAAAAGCCCAAGGCAATGGAACCGATCGCTGATCTAGGAGTCTCTAAAATATTTTTTGCCTCTAAACATAATACAAAACTTCGTCTTCTGCATTATTCGAACTTATTTCGATACTACCTCGCGTACAGTGGACTGCATTCTGAGATAAATATGAGGATAAAAAGAAATATAGATGGATTGTATCTTTAGATTCATCCATGTACCGTTTAGATTCTGCTTGTGTACCTTTTTTTTTTTCAGAACTACTCAGTCATTCTTTTAGCGACCATTTATTCTGTAGCTCATTGAGATATGTTATTCCTAATATTTCCATTTTGAACCATTTAATTTGTTCTATCCAGAACACCTCCTCTATGCGTCTAAACATCACTTTTATTTTCAACTATTACATACTTATGGCAAACCTTTAAACATCAACTATTACTTATTACTAAACATTAAATAGATATGGTTTAACTGTTTTTATTTTTTTTTACAATTATTGGGACAAGAAAATAACTAAAAATATGCTTAGCTTACCTTCCCTATCGTACAGCCTGAAAGCTTCTTTCAGCTCTTCCTGCATAGCTTCCGCATCCTCTTCTTCGAGGAAATGTCCTGCGATTTGGCAGAAACCATCGAAGTTTACTTTACCCGTTACTAAAAAAAATTGATAAAAATTCTATATTACGTAAATTAAAAAAAATTATACATGTTTTTTTAATTTCTAGATATCACAAATCAAGTCACAGTTTTATTTAAATCACTATAAAGTAGTAATGTAATGAAAGAAAACATTTTGATCCTAGATTTAAAATGAAAAGGGTCGTTTTTAGACCATGTTAATAAAATTCCAAATGGTAAAAAATATATATTTATACTTTATTATATAAAAGGACAAATGAAGGAAATGAATTCAGTGACTATAAACTTTTTTTTTTAATAGCTCTGTATCATAGCATCAATATGGTACTGATGGGGGGGGGGACTAATTTGGCAAATGGACTTCATGATTTATTTGGCCAATCTCCTTGCGACAACCTGAAGGTTCCCGCCATGTACTTACCGCGGCCTCGAGAAATGAAAACCTACCCAGGTGGGAATCGAACCCAGGATTTTCAGAACTGGGCACTCTGGGACAAAATCTAAATTTTAAACTATAACATAAGGTAATTTTTTAGACCGAAATCCACCCAAATGTGCTCGGCCATCCCGTCCACTTAATATCATTGTAACGTGTGTTCTCAGAAGCATTATAAAGTGCAATTAAAAAACCATGAATGAATCTGTTTACATTTGAATAAAAAAAAAAAAAAAAAGTTCTAAATACATTATTTTCCCGGGGTCTAGCTGTAGAAAAAATCACGCTTAGAACAACATATAAATTTTTATTAATAAAAATAAATTAAAACACGAGATGACCTTGTTTCCATATTTATTTAATAATATTAATAATTATTTGTAATAATAATATTATTTGTTTTATTGTTTTATTGAGTATTAATACAGTCTGCCACACTGAAGGACATTGGTACTAGGGCTATAGTAAATAATAATAATTAATAGCATTTTCTTAGAGAGAAAAAATCCTTGAGAAGAAATTCATTTGCCGCTTGAAATGATTAATGACCTACTCGGACTCCCATAACTCAATATAGACCAAAGGTCCTAAAATATTTTAATGTTTAAACTGTTCTATTTATAATGTCAGAGCTGGAGTTAAATCTGAGAAAAGAAAAAATACCTCTTGACAGAAGGCAAATACCATTATGTTCTACATCGAGAGGGGTTCAAACGAGAGTAAATACGTTTTTGAATTTGAAAATTCTAGTCATTGTTTGCAGTCCAAATCCTTTGAACCACCGCCCTTTTATCAAGATACGCTTTACAAAATTACAAGCTTGCAATATTTTTCTATTTAAATGATTTATATCAACTAATAGATCTAATATAATAATATAGACCAGATAATCAAAGTATTGACCAGTTATGAATGACAGCCTCTTGCAGTGTTCATAAAAATGAATCAAGATATTATCATTGATAAAGTTGAGAAGCCATCACAATAGGCAATTAAAGGTTGTCTCGAGATTTCTGCATGGTACTTATAAACTTCGTCATTATCAACAAGAAACTTTATTGATGAAGTAAATAATACATTAGGTTAACCAATACATAAATACTTCTATATTCGAATTAAAATTTTATCGAATGGTATTTAAGGAAAAAATCCATGAACGATGTTCTAAGCAAAAGAAAATTCTAGAAAAATGGTGTGAAGAGGCAAACGAGGGTTTCTAAGATGAACCTTAATGATTTATATACGAGTACAGTTAACATTTCTCGTGTGTAGGGATGTTGCGATAATATTTATATCGATATAGATCGATATTTTTCTTTCGATATCGCCCAATATCATATGATACCTAATTTTTACGATTTGGTTCAAGTGAAATCCAGTATTTAAGTATAATAAATGTATGATTTTAACATATTTATTTTTACTTATACAGTAAGCTAAGTCTATTTGAGATTATCAAAAGTAGAAGTTTATACTAATACTTCTGATTTCACAAAGAGAAAATTCAACAAATGATAATGATATTCATTATTTATTCACGGAGTGATTTTTTGCTAATAACGTGCTATGTTTTGGTGCGTATAATTTTATCTGGATGCCACTGGATAATTATTACACATTTATAATTACCCGTAAATGTTTAATAAAAATTAATAATAAAAAATTAGTAAAATAAATTTGGATCTATAATATATTGATTGGTTCAGGATTAATTAATTGGATTTCTTTTCTCAAAGGCTGGTTTGTGAGTATCACGCTTTCTAATTACCAACATTTCCTGTGATCATCATGATATAAAAAGGTGACAGAATTAAAATAACTTTTACTAAAAAACTTAATTTATTTCTAAATTTTTAAAAGTTTAATAAAGAATATATATAAATTAAATGGAAATCTTTATGTACAAACACTATTTACAATATACTAAAAAAGAAAATTCAAAGCATTTGATCATTAACTGTGAAGGTATGATTTCAGATGGACTGTTTTGAGTATTATTGCCATGAAATATTATAACATTAGGATTGGGAATTACAACTTAGCTATGATATGTAAAGTGGTGTAGTTAATAGATTTTATCGCTGCATCTGCTAAGTTGAGGTCATCTCGTCAAGTTCAGATCCAAAAACTCCTCTAAGACC